CTAAAATGATTTTATATTACGCTTAATCATATTCATGAATGGTATAGATGCACTCGACATAACCCTTTCCGATCATTTCTCTGTACATTGATTGAGCTACATTTATTGAATGCACTGCATTGTCTGTCAAACTAACTTTTGCAGAATCGGCTACTTAAATAATTATTTTCTCTAAAACTGTCAATTTTTGGAACTTGTGCCTATGGTAACTTTTGATCAGACGATCATAATCTACAACATGTATTATGTCAGCCCATTTGATGGGGAACTACATTTCCATTGAGTTCCTGCGGGGTCCTTTTGTGGTACAGCGTAGGGGATCGTAGTTAAGAAAACTAACTTTCCAAAATAATACAACTGTATAATAAAGAAAGATTTAACACATTTTTTTATTGCTTTTTTAAAAATAGTAACTGTGGGAGTATGTTGGAAAAATGGTGTTAGAGTAGCTTTAATTTGGTGGGGAACAAGAGGGGGAGTGTAAGGAAGCGTGAAAAAGCTTAAGGGAGCTTAGAGGAGTGTAGGGGAGGACCAAAAAAATTTTTTCGTCACCGAATTATGTTAAGATTTACCGAATTAAATTTTTTTCGGGGAAGCCGTGAGATAGTTATGGAAAAGCATAGGGAAGCGTGGGGGAGAAAAGTGACAGCCCTGCACAATACAACTATATAGTATAGGAAGATACTAGTGGGATCCGCCCTCCTCCCCACTCCGCTTGCCTTCCCCCTACTTCAACTTAATATAAGAATCTTCTAATTTAATACTTAAAATAGTAATTCATGTAACATTTGAACTTTTGTGTTGCTATATGCTTTATGAACCAATATAAATGTACGTTCATAGTTTGAAGTTTGTTAAGTTTTGAACAGTAAGCATAATACTTACAATGAGTGTTAATCAGAATATATTCATGATACTCATGATTTTTAAAAGAGTTTGTAGTCCTATTCGAATATCTCGAAAGAAACACTAACAGGTATACCATATACAGGAGGCCCACAAATTATGATTCCTTATCCAAGTATGTGTGGCTTCAAATAATATTTGGCTTATCTTTTGATGAATTACAAATGTCAAAATTTGTAGTAGTTCAAGATTTTGATACTGTTCTTGCGCTTTATTTACTTGCCATTAATTTTTGTCTTATGTTTTTTAAAATTTTTATTCGACGTAGAAAATATATTTTTCATTTCGGTAATGTGCATTTTTCCAACATATAAGAATTGTTTGTAACATTTCACTTTAAGATATTTCTTTTATTTGTACTTCAAAATCTTGACGTGATTTTTAACCGTTTTTTATTCAAAATTAATGTTCAATTTTAATAGCTGTAATGTCGTTATGAATGTATAACTGGGTTGTTACTTTCAATAACTGAAGTGAAAGCAATAATATGGCAATCTTGATCTTGTTATTTGAACTATAAATGGTTTTTTGTCTTGTGATAGCTTTGCATTAAATGTTGCGAAACCCAACCATCTATAATATAACTCAATGCTTTCTTGAAATTCTCCATCCTGAAATAGTGGCTATAAAATGCGTTTTTTGAATCAACCTAAATTTGGTGACATCATTTTACTTTTGCAATAACAATTATTCTTATTTTTTTTTTGACTTTTATAAACTGCTTAATACTCAGAATTTATGTACATAGTAAAGTAAAGAAAAAAATAAATCTAAAACTCATAGCTACTAAAATAATGAAATACACATTCTTTAAAAAAATTTGTTTCATTATTTCTAAATTTGTGTTTCATATTTGTATATTTTTTCAACTTTATTATTTGAATTCGAATTATCCTTTCATTGTTTAAAAAGTTATTTGTTTTTTCGAATAGTAAAAGGAAATAAAATTAAAGTATCTACTGCTCTTGAATGATACGGGTTTTAAGTTATACGAACATACACAAATAACTTAAAATAAAAGTTTTCGAGGAAAATGAAAATAGAAATAGGAGGTGTTTCAATTTTCAATGTTAATTAATAAATAATAAATGCTTTGAAATGAATATTTTTGATTTTCTTTGCTTATTTCTCATCGTGCTTGGACATTTATTGCACCAAAATATCTTATAATATTAAAAAATTGTGTAAATTTTTAACCAATTTTCATCTAGATGAATCATAAGAAGATGATAAATTTTTTTTTTTTAAATCATGTTAGATTACTTACGTTCCTTTCTAATATACATAATACACAATATGCTAAAATTAATAAATTTTGTTTAGCTGCATATTTGCTTGTATTTTAGATATAGTTATATAGTTACATACTGATAAACGTTTTCCTTAACTTAAACATATATTAATATTTTTAATCCTACTACACTTAACCTTTTAGTTGATTCACGGTACGAATATTATTTGGAGCTAGTGTCAACATAATTATTACTTAACAAACTTCAGCTAAAATCTTAAAAATAAGCTAGAACTATAAGGTAGTTATTAAAACATTAAAAAAAAAATTTATTCACCCTTCAAAAAAACAGTGAAAATCATGTTTCAAATAGCCCCTCTATTCCCTACATAATGTTAATATACATACATATGTTTCTTTCTTCTTAAGCTTGGTTTTTGTAGTTGGAAAAAAAAAGATTTTAAAAATTCTATTGAGTTTTTAATAAATCAAAAATGTTATCTTTAGAGACGGTAGAGATAGATTAGGAAATGATTACCCAAATAAGAGGGTAGTAAAAAGGGAGGTAAAGGAGGAGCATGATAGAGTGGGTGATAGTTTGCTAAAATATTGTTAAATTAAAAATCACTTTGAAATAAGCAAATAACTATGTGATTTGAAAGGTAGCTGAGGAGGAGCAGGGGGTAACTGAGACTTACTTTTGTTCATACATCTATATAATACGGGTGATATACAAACTTAGAATTGTAACTCTCAATAATAATTTTTTTTGTCACTATTCGTCAACCTGATTTTAGTTACCTGCATACACGCGCACGCATCTTTGCACAAATGCTAGTTTTGTGTTAACGAATCGTCGTATGGACGAGAACCAAGCTCCCACCTTTCAATTTGTATACGTACATGTATATGTGAATTCCTGTAGCCATGGTTACCATTCGTCTAAACTCAGTACCACTATTGCTTTCTTTCCTTTATAACCTTATCTAAAAACCATCAGTTCTCAACTATCTTATTTTTGTTTTTTATTGTTTCTTCCTTCAGGCCTTGCTTACACTTTTTAGTTTAGTCTGCAGTTCTCGATGCCGACCATTTACCAACATTCGTTTGCTCGAGAATCCATCTGACTGAGCACCTACTTGCCCGAATACTCATTTATCCATGCCCATCAGTCCACTGATCCAAACTCAAACGCTCAAAGGTTCCCCAAATTTTTTTTACTGGCTATGTAAACTTGCGAATTCGCAATAAATATGATTTATTTTTTTTACTCACCTTTTGATATTTTCACAAATTGATAATGTGGCCAATGAATTTTTATTACGTCAAAAGGTGATTTTTGACTTAATGACGTTCTTCACATAGTTACTGGGGATAAAGTTCAGAGAAGTGAGAGGAACGTTAATGTGTGCAGTAAAGCTAGCAATTGTTTTTCTCATGTGGATGTACTCACATACATGCTTTTACGCACATTTCATCCCCTCTTTCTAAATTCATTTGAAAACCAACTTGTGGATCTATTTGAAAATTCGATAGGTTTATCTAAAAGTAATCTTTTGTACCCAAAAAATTGGGAGTTTCCTACAAATCATATCAATGACATTTAACGTTATTTTTTCATAAGGTTACATGTTAAATATCGATTTTTTTAAATGTAACATATGTAAAATAATAGCATAGTCGAACGAACTGCAATTTTTGTAGGTATTTTTTGTGCTATTTCAATGTACGTTTGCCGTTTGAATAATATTTGTCAAAAAATCTATGTATGATAAACGTCCTGAAGGGACATTCACTAGAATGTAATACTACCCTTTTTAAGTAAACTATGCTACAGAATGGTTTTTCTTAATTTTCTATACAATTGTATTTTGGGTATTAAATATAGACGAGGAATAAGAGTGGGGTCGTATGCGGTAGATGTGAGCGTAATGTTACAGATGTAATCAGCTTAGGCAGTGGAAAGTTGTTTTGAAATCAAAACATTCGATGAAAGCGCACAGTCTTGTACTGGCCTTCCTATAGATTATTTTTATTGTATTGTGCCGTAATATATTGTTAATAATCGTTAACTCATTAAATGTTAAAATATTTATTGAAACCAGACTCAACTCACATAGGTATACTCTTTCCAACTATAATTGCACCATTTCCGTACGCAATATCGTTTCATAGAAGGTAAATTTATATTTATAATCATATGATCTGTCATTTAATTTTATAGACGTATAACTTCTTACTTAGGTACCCAAGCACCCACTGTCCACTGGTTTTTTTTTTTTTTTTAATCTAACACTTATAATATACCCTAATTTTAATTAGAAGGCAACCTAACCTAGTTCTCTCATAAGAGACCGTGTTAAATTGTCAGTATTTATTAATTATTTTCTTCCTGGTAAAAATCTGAAAAATTCATTTGCGTTCCTGATGGGCTCAAATATAGCATACATTTTTTTGGCCCGATTTGACTTTTTGAACTTTTCTCCCAAACCTGTTAAGTGTTATAATAATTTTTATAATAAACACAACAAATATTTCTACTATTCACTGGAGTATAACTAGTCTTACAACTTTTTTTTTAAATTTTAGTAAGGTATTGGTAATTTTTTATTGTACTCTTGTTTATCTACAGTCATCTTTAGAAGCTTTAGCTCATAATAGATAGTTTTTTCTATAGCCAGTGCCGATGTAATCTTTGGCAGAAGCGTCAATTTCGGTATTCCTCATGACAAGTAATGAAAGTTTTTGATCTTTGACAAACACTTATAGCTCATACTGAATTTGAACAAAAAGTTTCAATACTGTAATAATATTTTTAAAAAATTTTTTTTAACTTACAAAACTTATTAATTAAATTTTTCAGAAACAATGCCGTAAAACTACTCGTGAAGATATTCGTGAAAAGGAACCTTTACCAAAACTGCGAAATAGTTTGACTTATCGTTCATCTCTTCAAAGCAATAAATTTCAAAATGAAAATGATACCGATCAAATAAAAATAAGTTATCAAAAAGATGAACACACCAAGACCTTGATTGTTTCTGACAAAGAGCTAAGTAGGAATACGACAAAAAAAAGTAAAGCTGATTTTATAAGTCCGTTGAATAAAACCAGTCCAAAGAAATTAAGGTTAAATGAAAAACATGGAAAAATTTTGACGAAAAAAGTGGAAGACGAAATAAAAAAAGTAATTTTATAAATTTTATTAGTATTCTAACTTTTACTAATACTCGTTATAAAATGCATTAATTATTTTTGAAGGTGGAAGAGGAAAAAATAGATTCAGAAATTAAAGAGTACGAAAGAAAAATGGAAGAACAAAAACGACTTCGTGAAAAAATTCTTCGAGAAAAAGAAAATCGCCGAAAATTAGCAGCTTTGCAAAAGCATAATCTGCATGGCGCAGGTAACTCAAAGAAAATAGGTTTTAGTAAAAACATTCTTGTAAATCTAGTAGTATCATAAAATAATTAAAGTAAAAAAATTTTTTTCTAGTGAAAGCAAAGCCAGAATCAACAACTTCAAGCATAGGAAATGAACACATAAAAGGAAAAATGGATTGCAGATCTATTTATTTGCAGTGTGTAGAGGTACTGAATTTAACTTGTTTTCATTTTAATTAATACTTTTTTCTTCTTCAAGATTATATCACATTACTTTACAGTTACAATGAACTTTTCATGTAATAAGCTTTTAAGTATTCCAATATGTAAGAGAAAGTTATACGGTTGATTACGTTTTCATGAATTATTCAAATATTTAATTAAAAGCCGCATAAAAAACTTACTACTTAACAGACTATTCTACGTTTTTACAAATCTTTTTCATTATTATTATTTTTTAATGTTTACAAATAAAAAAAAAATCAAAATGTATAAGACTTAATCTTATAGTTTTCTACGAAAGTTTTGCAAATTTAAATAAAAATTACCTTTTTTTTCCCTAGTAAAACTAGCTAAACTAGGCCACGCCGACTTTTCGTAGCTCGGCTCCGGTGGCTCGCTCTTCTACGCGTACCGTACAGCTAAGCGCTCAAGATACCATTGTTGAACATTATTGTTTTAGTAATGTTTACGTAAGACAAAAGATGAAAACTCTAGTTAATTGTTAATCAAATATTAAAGAAGATAGTTCTGCCAAAAAAAATAGCGTTTGATAGCACTACAACTTTTTAAAGTTTATTTTACGAAAGTTCTTTTTTTGCATTAGGCTGCGGTTTGCACCAAGTATTCATCCGATTTTGTTGAAATTTTGTGTGATAGTTGGTGAATAAGAAAGTTACATTGTATAACAATTTGGCTTTTAATTTGAAAAAAGAAGTTATGAATTTTGTAACGTTGAGCAAAATCAATGTTTTTTTTTTAACTTGCGGGAACATTACTGGACCAGTTAGATTCATCCACATATCTTCTGTTTACAGCGCATAAGATTACAGTAAGATTTTTTTATTTTGTCTTAAACTGGTATTTTCCAATGCAAAGATCTGTTTTTGTTATTCTTACTATTATATTCGAACCATTGGTATAGAAGTGGTAAAGTTTTTGTGATTAAATTATTTAAGTGCATTACAAACTACAGCATAATAATAAAGTTTGAAGCTCAAGATAAAAAAAAATTCAGTTGAACACTTGACTTTAACTGTACCTATACTACCAGTATAAAATTAAACGTAGACGATAACTCGTTTTTTCGTACGATTAAGCGTAAGATTGTAGTTCAAAGCTGACTATCTATGTAAGTTTCTTTATATTCAAATAATTTTTTGAATACATCGAGTGATGCGTTAAATATTCTTTACTTTGTTCTTATTTCATATTTTGAAAATTAAATATTTTACCCATTTATTTCTTTTTCTGTACTTTTTATTATTGAAATCATCAGTTGTTAGCAACATGTACGATATTTTTCTAAATTGTTTATGGTCATCTGTATGGTAAAGACTGTTAATTGGTATCATAGGTTCTTGAACTATTCTTCCATGAAAGAGTCTAGCTTTCTGAAAAACCATGAATGCTAAGTTTTAAAAAAGCATGTCTTAATGTATGGATCGATCTCATGAATAAAGTTCTTTAACCACAGGTTACCCATGAGAAACTCCAAGTACACTTGATAGGAGCGAGCGTCGAAAAGAGCAATGGGTCTTAGTCCTGTGGCTATGGGGTTTCTATACTTCTATAGTAGTAGCATATTTGCTTTAGCCAGTAGTTTTATTGGCAAGGTAAAACAAAAAAATTGTGTAAGATTGCCTTATCAAGTACTAAAACTATTTTTGCAGGATAAGCACGAGTCCAAAACCCAAATAGCTTTATCATCACACGTAAAAAGTTTTAAGTTTGAACAGGAACTTATTATTTTAGAATTTGATGACAAGGCCATTGCATTGCTTCTTGCAGAGACAATCTTCTGTTTTGAATAAAAATTTTTGTGTTACCCAAATATTGGTTCTTGAATTGATAAATTGTCCTAACGTATTATGGCGTTGGATAAAAGCACTGCTTGCAAAATTGTGGAAGAGTTAAATCTATGATAATACATACTACTAATCTTCATCTTATAATTTTGTCAAAATACACCTTCATTTCGAAACCTTAATCATAATTTTACTACATGCTCCTATCTTGGTCAGAGTGCCCATTCAATTGACCGCGTTGGTGTCCCCTTTGGTAGGAGAATTAGGATTTGCCACATAGGCGTCATCACTCCGTGGCTACATTACGTCACCCCAGAGACGATGGTACTTACCTGACGAAAACTACGATTATAAAGGACTGTAAAGAAAAGGTAAAAAAAGTCCAGAAAATTCAACTATCACAAGAAAAGGGATCACTTAAAATTTGATTGTACGTTTTTGAAGGCCAAGAAAAATAAAGGTGAATCTGAAGTGAATGCCTTTATGTGCATGGAAGGCCAGTTGACTATCAGGACCATTGATACATAGACACTGGTGCTAGTAAGCATATGTGTAATGAAAGGCATGTTTTCAAGCAGATAGCCAAAAAAGAAAACTTCATGAAGGTCACAGTGAGAAGCGGTGAACTTCTCGATGTAATGGAGAGTGGCACTGAAGAGTCTTTTACTTGGAATGGCTCAAAGTTTATCAAGACAGTGCTGACTAATGTGCTCTTTGTCCCTCAGTCGAAATTCAATTTGTTTTGGATTTTAACGGCGCTTGAGAAAGGTGTGTGTATAGTGTTGGATAAGGGTTGCTATGAATTCGTAAACAATAGAAGTTGAACTCGTGTAGCGGCTAAACGTGTCAATAGGTTGTTTTGAATGCTATTCGCAGAAAATCTGAAGCGTCCAGAACTTTCGATTGTTGCTTCGAAAAGTGTATTGAACAATCATTAGTGTATTTGTATATCCGAAAAAAACAGACTGTGGACTAGTGAGCTTATCAAAATAGATTGAAAGTTTAATTGTATGGCACAGGAGAATGTGTTATCAAAACGTTAAATATTTGCGAGAATTTCTGATGCGTGAGGAAATAAATTTTATGCGCAACGTTGTTAACACGGTGGCACACATGCCTAATTGAACTGGTCTGAGTCCAATCAAATAAAAACTAGACTTTTCTAGGTGTATTGTAATCGTAATTATCATTCTATTTATCAACTAGATGTATGTAGTACTATTTCTTCCTGTCAAAATATCAGGTAATGTGTATATTAAAATATAGAGTGTATAACGAAACAACAGGAAATGTTTGTAAACTTGAAAAGGCTCTGTATGGTTAAAAAAATTTTCCAAAGAATTGAAATGTAAAGTTAACAATTTTATTGCGGTATTATATTTTGTAAGAAACGAGTTTAAATTTTGGTTGTACAGAAGAATCATAGAACATACTTACTTTGACATGTAGATAACCTATTAATGGCTTTTATTATTTAAAAAGAGATTAAAAAATTACAGTTATGGTTGAGTAAAAATTTTTAAATGAAAGATTTAGGTTAAATTAGAAACTTTTTGTGTAAGAATGTAGCTTAAAAGGGGAGGCTATTACTATTTGTTGGAGCAGTTATTTATGATTTAGTATTAAAGAATTCGAACATGTTAAAATGTTTGTACTGCAATTTTATCTCGGATAGCGAAAAATTTTGATCGTATTTAGTTAACAATGGATAAGTCTGAAAGCAAAGCTATTGAAAAGGATTTTAAAAAATCAATTGGATCAAATAATGATTGATATGTTGATCTCTAGACTATATTTACGTGTAGCTATAAGTATTCTTGGCAGATACCAGTCATGTGTGAGTTAAGAGCTGTGGAATGCTTTGAAATGTGTTTTACGTTATAAAATGGTATCTTAGACGTAGTACTGGTGTTTTCTTGAAGGAGAATGTGTACTGAAGTGAATTGTTGGCTATATTGACTCTCATTGGGTCTGTGGCGGGGTAGATAGAACATCAATAGCCGGTTACAGTTTTAAAATTTTGAATTGTAGTGTCTCATGTACATCTCAAGGAAACAGCCTACGGTTTCTCTGTTATCGTTTGGATCAGAGCTTGTGGAATTGAGTATGGTGGCAAGCGAAGTATTTTAGCTTGTTAATTTGTACAGTAATTTAACAAACACTGAGATAGCAGTTGTATTGTATGAAGACGACTTGCCGGTAATAAGCTTTTGTAAGAATTCTGAGTCCCATCACATATTGAAACATATAGACATTAAAAATGGCAAAATAAATGGTGTACATGTAATAACGTATAGTTGGAACAATGTGGTAAACATGTCATGTATTCATTATGCATAATAAACTACACTCTTTATCAAACAAATACCAAAAGTATATTTTCATTTATACAAGTGTGACGTTGCACTTTTGCGCCCTGAGACACTATAGGGTGTCGCTGCCAGGGCGGTCCCGAGACAACGTCCAAAGACACTTACACAGATCCTCTCGCCAAAGTCCGCCGTATCCTGAAACGCGAAAAACCCCTGTCCCCACGCTCACGATGTCCGCTGCTTGGCCCAGGAGACTCGTCACTGAGGAGGTCCCGCCGGCGGTAGTCCGTCGGGATCAGACTACTCTCCCAAGGAAAAACGAGACGCGACCTGTTAATTCGGAAGGAAGGAAAAACACACGCACGACAATAGACGAGGTAAATGATTTTTACGAACACTTCACTTTTTTTTTGGCGAACTCTTACACGTGGGCTTTTAGACCCGAATCTTGGCGCAATCCGGCGCTATCGCAACAATCCGTGACATTCATGCTTTTCCCCGGACTCACTCGTTCTCGCACTCCACGCTTTCTGGGCGCGTCCCGCACTACCCGATCCCCCGACACACACGTAAATACACACACGCTCGCACACTCTACTTTACCCTTACCTCCGGGTTCACCATGTTCCGGGTCAAATCAACTATCGGGCCTGCCGATGACCTGGTCTCGCAGATGACAGCTGGGGGTCGCGGTAGTTCTCGTCTCCTCGGTCGTTGGTCGCAAGGTCGTTCCCGGTTGGCTTGGAAAGCTGATTCCGCTCTTCTCTCTCTCTCTCTCTCTCTCTCTCTCTCTCTCTCGATTCCTCCCGAAAACGCGAAAAACTTGGAAGCTCTGGTTCGCTTGGATGCTACTACCAGAGTGTCGCGT